ACACACACACACACACACACACACAGACATACATGCATACACATGCACACATATAATTTTCCACAAATATCATAAGCAATGTTAAACGAATCATTTCCATTCTCTACTACAGAAAATTGAAAGTTTCCTATTTTATAAAATGTGTGTGATAAAATACTTCTTCTTCTTCTTATTAAGATATTCTTTGTTTTTACCTCGATGTCAAACAGTTACAGGGAATTTTCAATTATAGCATCCATATTCCTCTTAATACAGCCCTTTGATACCTTATTTCCTTAACAAGTTTTTCTAAAAACTTAATCACAAGCTAAATATGAGGCAGAGAAGAAAATCAGTGTTAGCATTCATTTGAAGAATGCTTATAATTCTCCTGGGACAGAACAAATTAAAGGATGTGAGATAACTCATGGTAGTATCAACAAACATGGGCAGAATAAGCAATAGCTCATTTGTTACTTGTAAACAATTATTCTCATCTGAAGACAACAAGAGAAAGACAATGAAAGATGACATTATTTTTACTTTCTTTTCTAGTTACTAGTAGATTTCAGACTGTCCTTTTAGACAAGGTTCTTCATTTCCAGAAGAAAAATATCATCTTTTGATATGTTCTCCCAGTGGCTACTTTGTGAATATAGCAGAAAACTCATCCTGGAATTAATCAGATTCTATAAATGTCTTAAAATATATATAAACAGACTGCCTAGGGAGGACATATACATCACCAACTACATAAAGTATTTTAGTTTGCATAGTTCCTCTGAATCTACTTACATGCTTTTCAGGATCACTTTATTTTAACCAGTGATAAGTTACAACCAATTGTTTCAGAAAGTATCACCAAATATTCTATATTTTCTCTCTCTCTCTCTCTCTTTGTTTTTTCCACTCATGGGTTAGTACTCAAGGAAAATTGAGAGTTGAAACTCTAAGTTAGATTATTGGCTTCCTGAAAGGTGAGTAACCAAAGGCTGGGGAGAAGGCTGCCTTCTGGATACCAGGTTGTATGTGTTTCTCGTACTCACTCACCTGTAGATGGTGTTGTCTTCTTTTCTGGGAATGGATTTGAGGTCTGTGAGTTCCAGGAATCGGTCATGGAAGTAGTGGAGGTGCAAAATGCACACTAGCAGGAAGGAAGTGGGGATGAATATGCGAGTAAAGAGTTCAGCTACAGTAAATTGTTTTAAGCCAAGATCCTCAAGCCTGTGAAACAAAATAAACCAAAATAAAAAGCTGGACTCTTTCTTAGGCAATGAAGATATACTCTCTTCATCATAAACTATATCACACTCATTTTTACTCTTTCTAGTTATAGCACTTATTGCCTCCTACTCTTCCATACATTCTAATTTGGTTTTTGTTTTCATCAATTCAATGAACTTTTTTTTTCATCAATTCAATTAACTTTTTTTTTCAATGGTCAATAAGTCTCAGTATTGCTACATTCTCTGACTACTCTATATTTAATTCAACCTCTACTCCTTCTTGGAACAGTCTTGTCTTGATGCCATTCTAGTTTTCTTTTCTTCACTATCTTCTCCTTTAAATACTGACTTCTAACAGCTAGGACATTCCCAGGATTCAGTGTTGAGTCTCTCCTCTAGTTAATCTTCCCCCCTGGGCAATTTTACCTACTACCACAGATTCATACACCATCTTTATGTGGCTGACTCTATAAGGTATATTAACAGCAATCTTCTCCTGTGGTCTTTCATTTCCTAATTTCTCCCTGAAACTGGTTGTGTCACAGTTCATGCTTTCAAAATAGTATTCTTTGTTTAATTGGCATATGTTGTGTCTCATACACACACACACACACACACACACAATATATATATATATATATATATAT